GTTACGTTCACAAAATTTCTAAAGCTCGTTTTACTCGAGAGATTTCGAGTTCCGCTTAGTTTGGCGCCCGATCCACCGAAACTAAGTGAATCAACGGCGACAAACTCTGTATATCCAGCCCGTTGCCGTTACGCATCTCCCTCCATCCATCGGTCTCTCTCTCTCTCTCTTTACCAATTGAATAGTATACATCATCCTTCGTAAAATTTGTTGATGTTATATTTTTATATTCGTGAAGTTTGAATGTAGACAGTCATAAAATACTCCTAAGTATTACAAAATTACCACAGGTACTGATATTCGACAATAAACCAAATTTCGCCACAATCCTTCGGTAGTGTCCTAATATAGGTCATGTGCCGATTCCGCGGGGTGGAGATGTGCCGCCGCTGCGTATTGATCTGCTCGGCGATCTTGCAGGCTAGTTTCTGGCGATATTTCGTCCCACTAAAGTAGCTTTTTTACAATCATATCAGTGTTGGCCTTCGTGTACATGCTGTATACAACATGACATCGAAGGATGGCATTAAAACGAAACCTCTCACCAGCTTTTAAAATATTTCATTTTACTTGTATGACAACGATGTATGGCAATAATCCTTTTGTAAACTGAATTCATCATTTACCAGTAGACATACAGATTTTCTAGATCAGTCGCAATTGCCCCCCTGTCTAAGCTGTGGTGTAAACATTTTTGAGTATTCTGAACCCTGTTTGCTCAGGGAGTTCGGCTGGAGCTCAATCATTCATTTAGTCCCATTCCTTGGGCAAACAGGGTAGCCTATATGCCTAGAAATGTGGTGTAACCTATTAAGCTTAATCAGTTCGTAACCTTTTTAATTATTAAAAAGCCGGCTTTTTTGTGGTTAGAAGCTTTTTATAGTTGGAAGTCAATCACTTTTTGATGGTTAGAAGCCAATAGATGGTTAAAAACAGCAGCTTTTAATTAGAAGCCAAAAGCTTTTTATGGTTATAAGCAAACAGCTTTTTGATAATTAGAAGCCAAAAGCTTTTTATGGTTATAAGTAAACAGCTTTTTGATAATTAGAAGCCAAAAGATTTTTATGGTTATAAGCAAACAGCTTTTTGATAGCCTAATTAGAAGCCAATAGATTGAATGTTGATGGTTTAAAGCCAGCAGCTTTTTGATGCTTAGGAGCCAACAGCTTTTGATGATTAGAAGCCAACAGTTTTTGATGATTAGAAGCCAACAATTTTTTATGGATAAAAACCAGCAGCTTTTTATGTTAAGAAGCCATTCGCCTTTTGACGGCTATAAACTGAACCATACTTTATATTGAGGTATATCGTACACCAGTAGTAATCTTATATAGAACAATAAAAATTGATAAAAATGAATTTCGTATTATCGTCAGCAGTACGAGAGTACAGCGGAGGTCCAGTTAGGGTTGGCTGCAGTCAGCCACGGATCGATGGTGATGCAGCCAGAGACTGCTGAGTTTGCTGATGCACTGAAAAATCAATATCATTGTTGATCCGAGCCAAAAATTATGGTTTATTTAGTTATGACTGTATAGCTTTTATATAAATTGCGTCATAATTTTTATAGCGGAACTGATTAGATTAAGTACTCGCTTTACAGTGGAAAGGATTAAATTTGGGGAAAAGTAGTAGCTTTGTATGGCCGTCTGGACATATGGGTTTTAATAAATGGGTTTGGACAAAGATAGCATAGTTAAATAAGTTACGAAGCTACAAAGGTTATTCATCCTGCTTTCATTTTAGCTAAAAATAGGCCTACGCCTCCTTGTGTATTGAAGTACAGTACCACTATTTAAATATTTTGCTTGCATTTATTGCATAGTATAGATACAATTTACAGTATAAAGTGACGGTTGTGGCTTAAATGGCTGCTGTTTTAATCTCTTTCAATTATTAAAACGCCTTCATTACTATGTATTTCCGAATTATTGTGACTTGTGAACACCAAAACTAATTTAATATAAATGGTATAACAATAGTATATTTACATTAAAAGTTTTAACATATAATAAATGGTTATAATATCTTTAACATCGCGTAGTCATATAAAACTGTACAATAAAATAAATAATATGTAAATGTGCTAAAGGGAAAATACTTTCTGTAATCAAATGGATGTAAAGTTCTATTGTGTTTTGTGTAACATTCAAAGCGTGGCATGATGTAAGTAAATAGCTGTGAGCCAAGAGTACCTACTCATACTTTCTCGGAATATCGTGTATTTTTATTGGTGAATTGTATGTTTAAAATTCTGCGATTTTTAAATCGTGTCTTTGTGCGTTGTTTTATTTGCCGTTGAAGGGCGAAAACACCTCTCCAAGTAGGTACTTACGTTATGAAAAGAATTTCGATGGTGTTAATTAATTTTATTCTTAATCTCGCTTCTTTATACGATTGTGCATCGTTCACTCTGAACATGGATTTATTAAATGTTTATATATGTAAATTAATGTCCCATTCTAGGGCCAAATTAATTAAAAGTTTAGAGCTTGGTTATTTTTCGCCAAAATTTAAAAACTAAAGTGGTTAAATGTTTTGTAAAAGATTTTCCCTAGATCTGAACTAATTTTTGTACTAAAGAAAATAAAATTGGTTTGATGGATATATCCGTCTTAAGCCAACAAAATATGTAAGGTGGACTATTAAAAAAAATCAATAACTTGTTTACCGAACTACCTTCTATCCAACCACATTGCTTAAACATACAAATCTTTTTACCGATCTAAAATCGTTTTGGTCCATCGACTATCGGTTTCACTCCCCGCGTGTACTGTAGAATATCGTCAGTTTTTATCGAATCAGGCTTTGCGGGCCGCTGCCGCTGTCTAGTGAGCGGACGTTTGTTATTTGATGTGGGGTCCGTGGGGGATTAAGACGGTACACGGTACACTGCCCCCTGGTCCCCTCTAGGGGTAGTCTCGCCCCGCCCTACGCCGCTATTGGTCCATCGACCAGGGGGGTGCTAGGGGGCCGGGGGGGGGGGGTGTTTTGTCCGAGATCCCGCTGATGTATACTCTGTCATTAACGTAGCGTATAATAAACTACTTCTTTCCACGATGCAAATTTTTGTTTTCAAAGCCGCTATGCGTTTAGAAGGGTTTCCCCGACTAGGGTTTTAATAGTTGAGGTGGAAACTCGTGGTGTTTTGGTAATCCCCCCTTTGTAGTTGGTTGTAGTTGGTTCAGGTATATGTTTAGGGGGATAGTTTTGCGGTTTGGCATTGAGCACTTTGAAATGTAAAGTTGTTTGAGGGGGGTCCCTCATATCTCTAGAGTTTTGATATAGTAATAGTTATGGTCCATATTAATTTGGCCTAATATAGTTACGTAGGTACTTGGAAATTTGTAATTTCAATTGTTTTCAAAGTGGGAAGGAAATACCATTAAACCGTGCTCATACATCAATTCCTAACCTCTTCTTGAATGACCATAGTTATATTTTCAATACTGAGATTTTCACAATTTCAGTTAATTATCATTCGCCTTCCGCCTTTGGGCCGTAAATTTAAACTCCCCTTGTCTACAAGTCTTAATTCATCTTATTTTTCTTATACATTTTTTAAAAGTGTTTAAGAATAATGTTACAGACACAAAACAAGTAGTGTTAGGTGAATATATTTACAATCACTTTTAAACACTTGTACTGTATTTATACTTTCGGAACGGATATACATACTTAAGTACTGTATTGATACAATGCGCCTGCCAACCACAATCACGAGTCTAGACGTTTGATTTCCCGGTTTTCACTAAACTCAAACTATATTATGGAGTATTATGGATGAATACTTACTGTAAGCTGAATACTTCTAAAGATATAAGATGATAATAGATTTGTACGTAGCAAACACACCAGTATGCGTATTTAAAAGAGTGAAAGATGGACATTGAATGACAAAGATTGTACATCAATGATAACTGTATGTAATACGAAGGTTCTAAATTAAAAGACGTTGACGATAAGATGTCATAAAACACCACACCACAATAGTTGAACTTCTAAAACCCCTTGGGCCATGATTCAATCGCAGCCCATTGTCGTCAGAACTGCCTCGTCTTGTCGTGGGTCGGAGGCTGATTGCTGAAGAGAGATGGCGATAGTGACAGGTGGACGATGTAAACAGAGAGGGTCAAGGTCAATGACCTCGCGACCTTGGCTTATCACATCAGTCACGTGACTCAGTCAGCTGTTTATCAGCTGTAACCTACAGTAGCGCACGCCACACTATCACGACCCGCCGAATAAGCAGCGGGCCTCTGCGATACGATACGGATACAATATGTTGCGTGTGTTTCGTTTACATATTTATATTAGCCTATTTCATTTTTAGCTTTGTATAATTTTTTGTAGAAAACTGGTAACTGTACATTAAACTTTTAAAGCTACAGTTCCACTTCGTGGCATTATTTTCCCGTACAGCATATTTGTCACAAACTCGTTTTTTGGGTTTTAAATTTTAAACACACGGAGTAGAAATTAACTGATAGCCTAATGCAAGAGTCAAGGAACTCTATTTTAAACGTCCAAGGTCAGCAATGATTCTTTACAACATCTTATAAAGAGACTCTCTCTTGGCAGTCTTCATTTGAAACTACAATTTCTGTTGCAGTAATATTTTGTAAGGGATTAAAATGCGAGTGGTTCTTAAAAACCTACAAAATTGTCTGTATTTTCCACACGGCTAATAACATTAAATGTTTCCTTTCCCGTGAGTTTAAAGGAGGTAGGTAATTGTATCTGGATATATTTAAGTAGAAATGCAAACTGTTACTTGTGTACTTGTATTTGATATATTTGTCTGTATATATTTAGTTTCATTGATCTACCTACTATATCCTTGGTAATTTGATATTACCCCGGCACATATGTATTTTACCTGGCGTTCATGTGGCACTCCCATATTGCTAAGGGCACAGTATTGTTGTAAGGAAGGTAATTGTGTAAACTACTTGTTTATGTACACTGGCTATGTTGCTTACCATGTTGTGTTGTTGTAGGGTGGTCGAGGCAGTCAGTACGGTGGTGGTAGCGGGTCACCAGGACCCGTGTATCCCCCCAGTGCCGGGTCCCCAGCAGGTCCGGGTCCTACACCTCCACAGCAGTACCCTCCGTACCCTCACAGGTACCCTTCCCCGTCCCCCGCGTCACCGTCGGCACCTCCGCAGCAGCCTCAGACTAGGCCGCCCTTCCCCGCCCACCAGGTACGCTCACAACAGTTACTGTAGGAGTGTAGGGAGTGTATTTAAAGATTAAATGCTAATTGTATGTTTACCATACAGTACGGAGCGTCTCTAAGGCAATGTATTTCGAAGTAGTTTCAGCGACTCTAGTGGTTATTTAACCTCAGGAACCGCGAATCAATTCTTTTTGCATTTTGTACGCTTTTATGGATACGGTACCTAGTTTGATTATACAGTTCCAAAGTCGAAACCTCAAATTAAGTTGAAGTACTTGTCTATAAAAATTATGAAGTTAGTAGAAGAAGTAAAGTACTCAATCGTTGAAACGAGAGTTGATGCAATCCGCATGTCAATTATTTACGTTTTCTAGTAATATTAATTAGCTTGTACTGCAAGACCTGTACTGCACGGTAGACGTGGAATTTTAATTTAGCTTAAACTGTAGTAGTGGTTGTAGAGCCCGTCCTAAAAATATAAAACGTCATGGCATCAAGTATTTTCTTAATAGACCTAAACATGGGTAAACTAGTTTTCAGCCGATCTATAAGGACGAATATTACGGGAATGTTGTGTTTGAGAATGGTTGGTAATGCCGGTATTGTGAGAGAAACTAAAAAAGACAAAGACACATCTGAAAAATATACTGAATAATTTATTTTCAATATTGTTACCGCTGCATCTTTGAAATCTGTAGTATAACTACCTAATTTTATTATATTTTTATGTATTTGTCAGTACAGTATATGTATTGTTATCGGTGATAAATAAAATAAAGCCCTACAATGCCAATAGTAGTACAGTACTGTATTACTATCTACAATTTCCCACATCAGGAATATTACCCGAAAAGTGAGCAAATACATTACAGAGGACGTTTTATCGTACGAAATTATTTATCAGAGGTTTTAAGGCTGTAGAGTGTTTATATTGCCGCTGAGTCGCCCAGTTCGGTTCTGTGTTCTGTGGCGGTCGCTTAGCAACAGATGACGTCACCGCCGCCATCTTGGATCCTCCCCTCCCCTCCCGTCCACGGCTAACCTAACTACTATAAAAACGTTTCTGTTATCTGACGTTTTTCCCTTCTGTTATTATTTTAAGTTTTTGTTGACGCGATCGCAGTTCAGTTACCAGTTTGCTAACGGAAATTCCGAACATTTAAGCTTCGAGAAAAGCAAAAGGATGAGCGCTCTATTTACCCGGCGATCTCTCTCAGTCCTGGATTTGACGCTGTTGTTTTCTCCAATTGAGAAATGTTATTTTTATTTTGAAACGCCATAACCTTTGTGTTTACGGTAAATTTGAACATGGATGAGAGCTGAATAGTTAAATAAATAATAATACAGTATATCAAGAAGGAAACTTGTTTTGAAACTAATATTTATCATACAAAAAGTTCGTGGTAAGTTAGGGTTTGTAAAACATTCAATAGTTAGTTTTCAATTCATTACTTAGCATTTCAGGATTGAAAATTCATATTATAAGGTAATGGGATATACGAAACACACTGAGTGATATAAAGCACAGTAAACTGTCAGCAGTGTTCAGTGTTCAATGTAGAACGCCTAGCCGCGCCGCGCTGTCGGTACCGCTGGTGCCGCTCAGGGCTGGTTGCCGCTGCCATTACGACACGGCGGTCTGAGAACAGTGAGTCAGCGACGAGTCAAAGGAAATGAGCCGCTGTCTGTGAGACCTTGGCCAGTCAGCTGTCAGAAGATTGTGTACTATAATAATATCGTTTGACGTTGTCGTTCGCCAGCAGTGCAGTGAAACATGCACGTTGTTCGCTAGCAACGCAGTGAAACATGCACGTTGTTCGCTAGCAACAGTGGGCAGTTTACGTAGTTCGTTATCTGTTTGGTAGAACGTTCACGTCGTTCGTTATCTGTTCGGTACAATGTTCACGTAGTTTTTTATTCGATCGGTAGGACGTCCACGTAGTTTGTTATCGGTTCGGTACAACGTCCACGTACTGTAGTTTGTTATTTGATCGGTAGGACGTTCACGTAGTTTGTTATCTGTTCGGTACAACGTTCACGTAGTTTTTATCTGTTCGGTACAATGTTTACGTAATTTGTTATTTGATCGGTAGGACGTTCACATAGTTTTTATCTGTTCGGTACAACGTTTACGTAGTTTGTTATTTGATCGGTAGGACGTCCACGTAGTTTGTTATCTGCTTGGTATAACGTCAACGTAGTTCGTTATCTGATTGATGGAACGTTTACACGTAGTTCGTTATCTGTTCGGCACAACATCCACGTAGTTTGTTATTTGATCGGTACAACGTTCACATAGTTTGTTATGTGATCGGTACAACGTTCACGTAGTTTGTTATTTGATCGGTAGGACGTCCACATAGTTTGTTATGTGATCGGTACAACGTTCACGTAGTTTGTTATTTGATCGGTAGGACGTCCACGTAGTTTGTTAAGTGATCGGTACAACGTTCACGTAGTTTGTTATTTGATCGGTAGGACGTTCACGTAGCTTTTTATCTGTTTGGTACAACGTTCACGTAGTTTTTATCTGTTCGGGACAGCGATTACGTAGTTTGTTATTTGATCGGTAGGACGTCCACGTAGTTTGTTACCCACGTAATTTGTTATCTGATTGATAGAACGTTCACGTAGTTCATTATCTGCTCGGTAAAACTTCATTGTAGTTCGTTATCTGATTGATGGAACGTTCACACGAAGTTCGTTTTTTGTTCGATACAACGTCCACGTAGTTCGTTTTCTGCTCAGTAGAACCTAAACGTAGTTCGTCATCTGATTGATAGAACGTTCACGTAGTTCGTTAACTGCTCGGTAGAACGCCAACGTAGTCTGTTACCTGCTCGTTAAAACGTTCACGTAGTTCGTCATCTGCTCGGTAGAACGTCAACGATGTTCGTTATCTGATTGGTAGAACGCTCACGTATTTTATTATCTGCTCGGTAGAGCGTTAACGTTTTTCATTAACTGATTGGTAGAACGCTGACGTATTTTATTATCTGCTCGGTAGAGCGTTAACGTTTTTCATTAACTGATCGGTAGAACGTTCCCGTATTTTGTTATCGTCTCGGTAGAGCGTTAACGTTTTTCGTTATCTACTCGGTAGTGTTATTGTTTTTCGTTATCTGATCGGTAGAACGTTAATGTATTTCGTAATCTGATCGGTAGAACGTTAATGTATTTCGTAATCTGATCGGTAGGGCTTCAACGTTTTTCGTTATCTGATCGGTAGAACGTTCGCGTATTTGGATATATTCACAGTAGAGCGTCAACGTTTTTTGTTATCTTATTGGTAGAGCGTTAACGTTTTTCGTTATCTGATCTGTAGAACGTACACGTATTTTGTCATCTGCTCGGTAGAACGTTGACGTAGTTTGAGTAGAAAGTTGAGGTAGTTCGCTAGCTGTTCAGTAGAACGTTCACATAGTATCTTATCTGCTCGGTAGAACGTGGATTATGTCGTTCGCTTGCTGTTAGTAAACACGTTTTTGACGTTCGCTATCTGCTTGGTAGATTGTTTTTGTATTTCGCTGGTTGTGGGGGGAAACTTGTCCATCTCGCCCGCAGCAGTGAACTTAACACTTTTCGTTGGGAGCTAAGTAGACTTTTACTTTGTTTGTTAGCTGCAGAGTTCGAATGCTTTCTAATTGCATTGACGATTGTTTGGTCAATTACTTCCGCATTCTATCGATGACATAATATGTTATTGTTTGGTCAATGTTATTGTTAGTCGTCACCAAAGAATAAGCCACGGTTCTCGCGCTGATTGTCACTTTTCTTGAATAAAAGTCCTTGCAGACTTAACGGCACACTGTTGGCAGTCTTTGTGGCGTTTATATATTTCGTTGGTAAACTGGTCAACTTGTGAATGGAACGTATAATGCTATCAACATTCAAAAGATTTTCTAAAATGGCGATTTAAATTAATTATTTTAAATTATAAATCGAAATAGTACACATTTATTATACTGTATGACCACATTTCGAAAATCAGTATATCAGATATAAATCCTGTAACTGGTACTGTAAATAAAATATGAAACGAGTCGTAGAAGAACGAATGTTAAAAACGTCCATCACGCCAAATCATAAACGTCAACACAAGCCATGAAACGTGCAACGATAACAGCGGCAATTGTAAAGCCGTCAAACGGTAATGGCCTCGCTGATATAATTGGGCCACTGCTAGGAAGGTGTCTTGCTCTATATATAGACGACCTTGAAAGGTCAACGCCTCTTCAGTCATTTGTTTTTGTTTACATATCAGCTGACTCGGTTTATTGATACAGCTCACGTGTCCCCCTCCCCCTCACCTCTCCCCCCGGACACGATAATGCACAGCGACCTTCCTTTTCTGGCTATTACTTCTGTCTTCTGTCTCGCTCGCTCTTTCCTTGTGTCGGTGTCGGTATGCTGCTCTCAATAGGTTAGTGGGTTTTTAACGGGGAGGGTGCGTTGTGGTGTGAGTTTGGCTTTTGTTTGGGTGATAGAATTGGGGTCATTTTTTCAATTGTGTGTTGGTTAAAGAATATAAATAAATTGGATGATGCAGTAGGACAAAAATTATAATAAATTATTTATTTGTCTATTTTACATAGATTTGTGTGGACATTGCGAAACAAGGGTGGGGGTATTTTTAAGGATAGGTGTTGAGTCGTGGACTTAAAATACTTGTCCACCTCAGTTTCCATCTAAATGTGGTCAGTTCTAGCCGGTTTTGTATAAGACTAAAGCACATTTGAGCAAAGAACATGGGCCACTATTGGACTGCTCTGCCTTCAAATATAATGGTGTGGCATAGAAGACGCTATTGAATTTAACTAGTTGATTTTAATTCTAAAATTCTCTTTGTATTTTTTGGAATGTGATCTAATTTTTTAAATATTTTTAATAAATGTTGAATGGATGATAAGATAGCTTCCTTGCTAACTAAGATCAGCTGTTCAAGCATAAGTTGACTTGTTTTAGGATTGGATCAGCAACCTGGTTACCAAGTGTGCACTACAACCACTAAACTGTGTAGTCTAAGTTGTGACTTTAAAGACCTGTTGATAGTTGTTGGTAGACAAATTAGACCTACTATTTGTGATTTTCCTTAGTTACTTAGCTGATGAAAAACAACTTTTTAACTTATCTATTTAAATGCAATGCAAGATGATAAATGTTATGTGTTGTTGCAGATGGGATCTGCCCCTTACTCTGGCAGTGGGCCTGGTCCTGTAGTTGCAGGGGCCCCTAGTCCCAATGGTCAGAGTCCAGCGGGGCCCCAGCCCCCGTCTCCTTCCCCACATACAGTGCCCCCACCACAGCCCAGCCCTCAGCGTCCTCCTTCCCCTCATCATCAGCAGCCTCCACAGGTGTGTACCAGAGAGTTGTTTCTAGTATTAAAAATTATGATTTTTTATTGAACAAACAGCACTTTTTTGTGAAAGTCGATGGTCATCTATAACATCAACCTGTTTATAGAAATCTTCCTAAATTGATAGACTGGTGAAATGACAACTAGGTCCATAGAAAGGGCCAGACACAAGTCAGAGCGAGTCATTTCATCTATACCCCCTTGACTATGAATGAGTTAGGATGATTTGGTATGATATGATTTGGATTATTAAAGTGCACCTTAGTTGTACTGTGACCTAGAGAAAATTGTATCAAAACTTGCTTAAGATTAAGTAGAGAACAAGTCACTACTGGAACCTATGTTGATAGATGCTTTTAGTTCATAATTAGAAGACATGTGTTTTGTATAGTTGAATTGTGGTTTAGAGTTGTTTTGTTAACTTGGTAGAATCCTCTGTGGATAAAATAATTACTTTACCTAAGCTATATTTCTTTCTATTGCAAAACAAACATTATCTTATATGTAAGATGTAACATTACTAAGTAATTCAGTATCTTAAAATTGTTCCTTCTGTTACAGAACTACTCTACCAATAGACCAGCACCCTCTTCAACACCGACAGCCCCTGAGCCAGCAGTGAGTACAGTTTTGTCTATGGGGATTATGGGATTTGGTGGGAATTCCTGTAAGCTTAGTCACAGTCCGTCTAGTCGGAGTTTGGATGCCTAAATTTGGCCTCTGGGGTTGAGTTTCTAAACTGCTATGAAAGTTGGTCTCCTGTTTCCTTGAATATTCTTAGACTATGCCTAAATGTTCGGCGTTGAATTGTATAGATAATTCAGAAATTACTTAAATACTTTATTGTCATCCGATTAAAAAAAAAAAAATTAGTAGTTTATATTTTTTACAGTGGTTACCACAGTGAGCGTAGATATTGAGGATGTTTTAAGTTTAAATATCCACGTTACATAGATGAAATCAGAATTCATACTGTATCATAATTCAGGCAGATATTTAGGCCTAGTAAAAAAAGAGTATTTTCTAGTTTAAATTTATCTTGAACATCCAAAATTACACATGCTATAAAGGTGTGCTAAAGGAAATATTTTGTAAAATCGTGTAGCCTAAGCTGTTGTAGCAAAAGTCATGATTGTTTTCGTATGTGTTGCATAACTACAACTCACTCTTAACTATCAAAAAGACTTATTTCGGAAATCATTTTTTTAAGGAAAATTCTAAGAGATAAACCGTTAGCCTGCACAGTAATGGTAAAGAAGTTGAACTCTTTAAGAATATTCTTCAATCTGATTTCCAGTTTTAAATGAAACTATTACAATTGTTTGTAGGCTAGTGAAATTTGTTAACTGCATAAGAAGAAGCAGAAATAATACTTCCAATGAGAATCGTAATTAAAAAAATAGGGTATAATATAAGGGTTGGTGCTGGGTAAATTTATTTCCTGTCACTACCATTTATTTAGGTAACATTGGATTTCGGACTGTAATAATAGGGCTATGAAGTGTCTGGTCTATTTTTCCCTAAAAAAAGTTATCACCTACAAAAAATCTTCTAAATATTGCAATTCAAGCAACATTGGAGTATTTCCACTGTAGTTTTATATTTGAGAATAAGATCCAATTTTAGATAGGTCAAATCAACCTCCCTTCAAAAGTTATCAGGACTATTTATAACCTCCTGATAAGAGATTTAAACAGGACCGTTAAATTCCTATAAAATAGATAAGGAAATGGTTGAGTAGACAGACGGGCTGGCAAACTAGAGTGAATCACTGCATCAGCCAATGACGATCTTGTGCTATTGTCTGTTGTTTAGGTGAGATAAGATAATGGAAGTTATCAGTTAGTTGTGCTTCTAGTGCATACTAAACTGTAAACAGCAAGTGATGCATAGTTATCAGGCCTTATCTTTATGGGTTCTTCATGGTGATCAACAGAAAAGAAAATGGTAGGGTAGATTATGAGGCTTTAAAGATATTGCAATTGTTAACCTTGTATAAATAATGGTTCACCCATACTTTTCACATTGATATTATTTGGGTCATTCCCCCCTCCCTTGAAACTGGATTATATTGGATGAATAAACAAGGTGTAACCTAATGTGGTTGTTTTCATAATTATTAACATATGTGTAATCACAAAAGGAAAAGGTGCAAGGTTTAAAAAGGAAAAATCTATATTAATTCCTTATTATACAAATTTACGTTTTCTTCTGAGAAGATTTTTGATAAAAATGTGTCAAGCTTCATATAATGTCTTAATTTGCCTCAATTTTCTGTGTTGACAGAAAAGACAAACATCCGACATAATATTAAGTATACACGTTTCATCAAAAATGAATACAGTATTTCGTAAGAATTAAGAGGAACTCTCCTACTTTAAGTCCCCTCTACACAGTAATACAACCCTCTACTATTTGTCCCAAATTCATCGCTAAGGGCTCGCAACCGGAGACGGAGATTTATTTCCATTGAAACAGCTCCTTTTTGAACTGTTAATGAAATCTTAAATTAATTAATAGCTCTGTACAGGCGGGCCGCGGTCGCCTCGCGTTTGATGCGGTGGTGGGGGAAACGGCTTAGCGGTGGTGGGGGAGAATAGTTCCCGCCCCCGCCGTATCGAGCGCTGACGTCACCGTCGCCTAGCAACCGCGCAGTCGCGCCACCCCCAAATGGGATTCATTTATTACTAAGGCTGCAGCTTACCCCGTTTTCAGTTTATTTTTTTGAGTCCCCAAAGCGTTTTTGGGGCTTTCGCCCGTCGGGCGGAGCCGCTCTTTTTGCCGAGCAATTGATAGGGCTCTGTGACGCTAACGCTAACGCACGGCGACGGACCTACAAACGTCCTGGTGGAGGGGGAGGGGAAGGTAGATCGTGTTATTCTTTGATCGTAAAACGACGAAGCTAACGGAGGGTCTAATTTATTACCGGCGTAAAACTTTGTTTAACATACCGTTATAGTTGGCCGTGCCCGCGATTTTATGGTAATTAACCGGGTGAGGATTTCCTCTTTTACGATCAGGTTGGGGAAAGGATTATAAATACGTGAAAAATGTATATTGCTACAATTAGTTGAGTTTATTGTTGAATCGTAGGCCATTTGTAGCTAGGAACTACAAAAAAGATGATTAATACTATAAATTGGCTTTAAAATAAATACTGCGTCCACTTCATAAGTAAAGCGTTAAGCCCCTAAACGGCTAATGGATCATAACATTATATTATGTTGTTACTACATAGAATTCTTCCTTTAATTAGCCAATATTGTATTTTACTTAAGTAAATTAGCAAAACACTATAACTGTTTATAACTGTTACAGTGGTTGTAGAAAACCACGGAAATTTAAAATAAACTTTGAAAAAATTTTCACAAGAAAAATCGTTTGTATACTGAAACAAAAAAATAAAGTTAAATAAGAATTGTTATGGGGAATTTTTAGATAGGCTCTTTGCGAATTCCTCGTGTTTCATAAGGAATTCATAGGACTAAACTATTACTCACAATCCTAGCCTACAATCAATTCCTCTAAGCTTTGTATCGTATTGTTGAGATCCCACACGGGTGTGAACCTTCAGCCGTCATATTTAGTATTGATGAAGTCAGTGTTTGGTCTCTGTTCAATAAACTGAAACTCGAGTAGACCAAAATTCACGCAAACAAATTAAATTGCTGCCCCATTCATGCCACAACAGGGACACGCCACGCTGCGTGGGGTAAATCGTATTTTGACAAAGTCTACGGTAACGTGGATTTGAATACGTTTTTGTTACTACGGGGTGATTCAGTTCACCCGTGCACAGCCGCTTGTGTAACTATCTGACTCACTGATCAGTTATACAAATGTTTACGCACTTCTAGAATAGCTAGGGGTCTGAAATTCTTTGTAAAGGTTCATCTTGGTCCCAAAACACTCAGGAAATCCAAAAAGTTACATTTTCAAATTACAACCCCCACAATAAATCCCTTAAACCCCCCTTTTTTTTAGAAAAATGCCTTTTTAACTGGCTATAGCTTGAAAAAGGTTAGAGCTAGCAAATATTTGAAATACATTTTTTCATAGTCAAGAATTAAATACTCTACAAGACACTCGTAGGGGTTTTCGAAAATCAAACTCCTTCACTAAAAAAACGCCCTACTTCTAAAACGTGTTAAGTCTTGGATGTTCAACCTGTTTTTAATTTTTACTTTTCGGTCATATTTTTCTTCATTTTATGATTTCAACATTGAAAGAAAAGTGCCTAAAGTGACAATTAGAAATCGTAACCCACTAAAAAAATGACGAAGTTTCAATAAAAAAAGTTTTTTTAACGCTTGTTGGGCCAAACCCCGTCGTGCATGGGTGGTCTGATTCTTCACCCTGTATAGGAAGTGGGCCTGGTTATTATTTTAGATTTACAACGTGTTCAAATAATTTGTTGGTGAAACAGTCTGGTTTAGGGTTTAGTGCAGGTAAAGTTCCCTGGACTCATTTTTCTAGCTAAGTGGATGGGTCCCGAACCATCGTGCCATAATCACGTAGCGATTCATTATTCGCTTGTTTTCATGATAGGTTTTTATTTTCGTCTTAGGTTTCTAGCGCATAAGTCTTTCGTTTTAACCATTTAGGTTAGCACACAGTTTTATAGTTTTTTTTTATTTAAAATTAAATGATTCTGTTGGTTGAGGAATTTGCAGTTTTTCACACAGAACACAAAGATTTGGCTGAACAATCCATAAAAATGCAGTAAACAATTTAATAAAGATTTTACCCACACTTGTCAATTGACCTTACGTAGATACTCAAATTTTACACACGTTTTACCGATTTCCATTCCTTGACTCCATCTAACAAAATTGTAACATTATTTAAATACATGTCAAACAAATAAGCTGGAAAGACGAAATCCCTATATATTTAATAATTATTTCAAATTCAATTGAATCTTACAAATAAAATAGTTGCCGTTACCCTTAACCTTTCAGCAAGGCATAAAAACAAATAGTTCTCCCGAAGGGGTGCAATCTAATTGGCGGGTTAGCAATATTTTTTGGACAAAGAAGATTTGGACGAATATACATCAGCATTGTTAAATAGATTTAAATAAAGACTTGCAATTTCTTATAAACTGGAAGGGAGTTCCAACAAAATACTGGCCATAGAAAACAAGCGTCGGCCGTTCCAGTGGCGCTGTAATCAAAAACACATTACGTCTCTACTGCTATCAGTTTTGGCGGGTGGGGGGGAGGGGGGAGGGACTCCCTTATGGTATTTTTATAGTCGGTGAAATATCAATGGGCGTTTGATTGGCGTGTAATTGTTACAACCGACGTTTTAGAGCTTTGTGTCGGAATGCATAATGTTGATACGATAATGACTCTGAAGGTTTCTAGGGACGAAAACGTAAAGTTCTATTGTAGTTTTTCCGATTCATAAGTAAAGAACTTTTCGTCGCACAAAAGCAATAACTGATAATTTGCGTTGTAGGCGTTGAGTTGCTATTTTTTAGACTAATCATTAGAAAAAAAAACTGAATTCTGAAAGCCTATAAGCTTAGTACATTTTCCCCTTAGTTGCTCATTTTTACCTTCGACTCAATAGTAAATGTTTTTACAAAAATAATTGTGATTAGCGTACTGTGT